CTTTAGGGTCTAAAAGGGTCTACTTTAGGGTCTAAAAGGGTCTACTTTAGGGTCTAAAAGGGTCTATACTTGTAATCACTGTGGCGGTTCATTTTCACTCAAAGGTAGTACATGGGTTGAAAGTTTGCTGATAATTCTCTCCCGTTTTCCCCCCTTGGCCACATCTGTCATGGAAGAATGTAGAACTGGCGGCACCACACTTTAACTCTTCCAGGCAACAATGTTGAAGGTTTCCATCAAACCATCAGCCCAAACTTTGGTTGGAATAGGAACCATCAACAAAATATCTTTGCTCTGAGATTTCTCCCTTCGCGATGGGATTTGAGTGATATACCATACAACACTCAACACTTGTGAGATTATAACCAGTTCTTGCATAGAGGGTATGTCACCTCAATTGAAATGGCTGAATTTGTGCTTCTTCCCTGAGAGCCCCCCTCCGCCACCCGTGCAGCGATGTAGCCTCACTCTAACTTGTTCACTTCCAAAGCAAACTGTCGAGGATAAACTTTTTCCAACAATGGGAGTCCTTCACATTGAGGAACTCCTTGATCCGGAATCAGACCCTAATTATTTAGTTAACAGTGGTATATGGTGAGTTAGTTGCACTGTACTTACAGATCTAGGCTCCTCGTTAGCGTCTTTTATTGAAAATATAAAACTAGATTTCAAGATCAGCTTTTGAGTAAGTTCAGTTTCATGGTAACCATACAGTAGTTCTGGAACAGATGAACAGATTTATTGCAGATTTGTGAATCAAAGTCCAGCCGCATTCGCCAAATGTGTTGCCACAGATTTCCCCCCAAAAACACATTTTCTCAAAGTTGACATGATGCTAACACTTTTAGGTGGCGACAATAGCAGAAAAAAAGCAGGGCTCAATGTGGCAGACACGGGACCTTAAGTTGGACTTGGGAGAGAGGCTTATGCGCTGTCAATCACCTCCTGGAGGTTGGTGACGTCACGAATTGGAGAAAGATTGCTCTCTAACTAAAGCTTGATTAAATTAATGAAAAAACAACCTTGGGCATGTGTACGAAGGCCAAATAGCACTGTAATGATATTTAAAACAGAAGAGTAAAGTCAAAAGCATAAATGGTTCATGGTCCTCCAACCACCCATTTTGAAGCTGTGGTAATCATTTCAATTGTCATTGTGAAGGTTAACGGTGATATTGGAGGTAGAGTCTTAAAACCATATGCATTAGCCGTGTTCTTTCACTATAAGAATTCTCCAGATGGTCAATCATTCATGTACACCTGATAAGAGAGAATATCAATCAATCAATCAATCAACGTTTATTTATAGAGCGCCTTTCCTACACAAGGCAACGCAAAGCGCCTCACAACCCATATAACATCATGCATAAATCATCAAACATTAGAATTTAAGTAAACATAAAAAGACAGATTAAGAGCACAAGATATATAAAATTACACAAGTAGTTAAAAACCGTAAAAAATTAAAATCACACAAGGGATTACAATCATAAATAATCATAAATAATCATAGCGCATTAAAAAGATTAAAGATAAAAACAAATGTAAAATCATTCACTTGTATGCACAGCTAAAAAGAACTGTTTTCAGTTCAGTTTTAAAAACTGCTAGAGTAGACGCCTGTCTCACACTCTCGGGAAGACGGTTCCAGACTCTAGCTGCATGAATCTGAAACGCAGCCTCCCCATGTCTAGTTCCGACTCTTGGCACTAACAGAAGTCCAGTCCCTGTGCTCCTCAGAGCCCGAGTTGGTTCATATGGCACCAACATGTCGCGGATGTACCCTGGTGCGAGGCCATGGAGAGACTTGTACACAAGTAAAGCTACTTTAAAATCTATTCTCTGAGCCACAGGAAGCCAGTGCAGAGACCTGAGGACCGGACTAATGTGGTCGTACTTCCTGGTTCTAGTCAGGACTCGAGCTGCAGCATTTTGGATGTACTGCAGCTGTTTTACCGCTTGTTTAGAGAGACCTGTGAACAAGCCATTGCAGTAGTCCAATCGACTGGAGACAAATGCGTGGATAAGAATCTCCAAGTCTGCTTTTGACACAATGTTTTTAATTTTAGCAATGTTTCTTAGGTGGAAGTAAGCTGATGATGTCACAGATGATATGTGGCTATTGAAATTCAAGTCTGAGTCCATTATTACTCCTAGATTTCTGACCTGAGTTGAGGGTTTCAGGGAGAGAGACTGGAGGTGGCAGATAACGCTCTCTCTTTGTTTCTGAGGTCCGAAAACAATAATTTCAGTTTTTTCTGTGTTTAGCTGGAGAAAGTTATTTTGCATCCAATCACTGATCTGTTGGATACAGTGAAGGAGCGAGTCCACTGGTCCATGTTCTCCTGCTGTCAGGGACACATAGACCTGAGTATCGTCAGCGTAATTGTGATAGGACACGTTATTACTGTGTATTAACCTACCCAGAGGCAGCATGTAAATATTAAACAGGAGAGGCCCCAGGATTGAGCCCTGTGGCACTCCGCAGGTCAGGGCCAGATGGTCTGAGACACAGTTTCCGATCTCCACAAAATACTTTCTGTCCTGTAGGTAGGATATAAACCAGCTTAGGGCTGTTCCAGAAACACCAACCCAGTCCTCAAGTCTCTGAATGAGGATACCATGATCGACAGTGTCGAAAGCAGCACTCAAATCTAACAGGATAAGAACTGAGACTTTTCCTGCGTCAGTGTTAAGTCTGATGTCATTTGTTACCTTCACTAGAGCGGTCTCTGTGCTGTGGTGGGGTCTAAAACCAGACTGGAACATATCAAAAGAGTGATTGATTATTAAAAATTCTGTAAGTTGGTGATAGACAACTTTTTCTAGAATTTTACCCATGAAAGGCAGATTTGAAATGGGCCGATAACTTTTAAGTGCCAAGGCATCCAGACTCCTCTTTTTTAGGAGGGGTCTGATGACTGCCGTTTTCAGGGCCATTGGGAATGTTCCAGATTCAAGAGACATATTTACTATATGCGTGAGTGAAGGTAAAAGACTGCTCAGAACAGATTTAAGAAATCTAGGAGGTAATACATCCAGGCTACATGTAGAAGAACTCAGACTTGTAATTATCATTTGGACAGTTTCATTTTGTACTGGTGTAAAGTGTGTCAGCCCAAAAAGCTTCACTGGCTGTTGGATTGTAATTTCTACTGTGGAGGTGATGGCATTTTTGATGCCTTGGACTTTGTCATTAAAAAACTCTGCAAACTCATTACATTTGGTTTTGGAGGTAAGCTCTGATGGCATCTTAACAGGGGGATTTGTCAATTTATTTACCGTTGAGAACAGAACGCGTAGATTGCCACTACAACCTTCGATTGTTTCGGAAAAATAAGTTTCCCTCGTTCTACGTAGCACACTGTTGAACTTGCACAATGCATCTTTGAAGATCTCATGGTCAACTTGGAGATTTGACTTTCGCCACTTCCGCTCGGCTCTCCGGCACTCTCTCTTCTGTGCCCTGACAGAGTCTGCTTTTGTCCATGGCGCCTTTTGCTTATTTGTAAACAATTTTGACCTTTACAGGAGCAATCGTGTCCAGAACATCCAAAACACTAGAGGTGACAGAGTTAAGTAATTCATCCACAGTAGAACACAACGTGTTATCAAAGTTTATCATCCCCATGAAAAGTTCACCTGTATTTTTGTTTATGTGTCTTCTTCTTCTAACAATTGAGGATTCAGCTCGTGCTTTACTATTGAGACACATATCAAAAAATACACAGAAATGATCTGACAGAGCAACATTGGCCACATTTACATTTGAGATATTAACCCCTTTAGTAATTAGCAGATCGAGAGTGTGTCCTCTGCTATGGGTGGGGCCACTCACATGCTGAGTGAGACCAAAGGTTTCCAGCACAGAGCTCAGCTCTTTCGCGTATCTATCATTAACGTTATCTACATGTATATTAAAATCACCTATGACGACTAAACTATCAAAGTCTGTGCACACAACTGAAAGCAACTCGGTGAAATGATCAGTGAAACTATGACATGACTGTGGCGGCTTGTACACAACAATAATAAGAATAGAAGATTGTTTTTGTTCTATTTTAAAAGAGACATACTCAAATGAGGAAAATTTCCCAAGAGGTACTCTATGGGAGACAATACAATCTTTAAAAACTGCTGCTGTGCCTCCTCCTCTTTTATTTTCTCGAATTTCTGATTCAAATTTGAAATTTGGTGGTGTTGTTTCTATTAAAACTGCATTTTCTGTATTATGGTCAAGCCAAGTTTCAGTCATAAACATAAAGTCAAGATCATAAGAACAGATAAAATTATTAATTAAAAAGGATTTATTGCATAGTGATCTGACATTAAGCAGAGCAAGGTTAAAAATAATGTCAGTGTCAGTGGGTTTAGTTGATTGACTACAAAGAATTGGAATTAGATTTCCTGAGTTGGACCGTCTAACTGCTGTCCTTCTGTTATATTTGTGTTTATTCAAATTAAAACACATTTCTGAGCCGGTGCGAGGAACACACACTGTCTCTATTGGTTTAAAAAGTGAACTCTGTTTTAACTTTGTTAAGTTCCAGATGCATGACTGAGTAAGTGCCGTTCAGTGGCAGGACTGGTATTACACTGCCAGACGGACAGGGGTCAGTGTTTGCACCACAGTACTCACCCGGTGCTGGAGTGGAGGAGGAAGGTGGTAGTGGGGGCCGAGAGGCCTCGGATGTAAACAGTCACGCCCCCCTCGGGGAGCACTGAACAACATGGCGTAAAAAGAATACTTTCACTTGTCACTCTCTTGTCTCTCTCTCTGGTGTCTCGCTCTGGTGTCTCGCTCTGGTGTCTCGCTCTGGTCTGGTTGTTGTGGGTAGCTTGCTAGGACATGGATACTGGAAACAAAATCAAGTAGAGTAGAGTGGACTAGTGCAGAGTTGGTGGAAATTGGCTTAAAACTCCCAAAAAAATCCTGGTTTGTCAAATATGTCCAGTATTTTACAGACAATATTCTAAACTGCCTTTGGTTTTTCAGGCACAATGCAGAACATCAGCAACTTCCCCACGTCCAACTCATCCACCGCACCATCGACTGTCGACATCTACAACCACAGCACCAGCTACGGCTACAACACCAGCTACGACCACAGCACCACCTACAACCACAGCACCAGCTACGGCTACAACACCAGCTACGACCACAGCACCAGCTACAACCGCAGCACCAGCAACAACCATAGCACCAGCTACAACCACAGCACCAGCAACAACCACAGCACCAGCTACAACCACAGCACCAGCAACAATCACAGCACCACCTACAACCACAGCACCAGCAACAACCACAGCACCACCTACAACCGCAGCACCAGCAACAACCACAGCACCAGCAACAACCGCAGCACCAGCAACAACCACAGCACCAGCAACAACCACAGCACCAGCAACAACCACAGCACCACCTACAACCGCAGCACCAGCAACAACCGCAGCACCAGCAACAACCACAGCACCAGCAACAACCACAGCACCAGCAACAACCACAGCAACAACCACAGCAGCAGCTACAACCACAGCACCACCTATAACCACAGCACCAGCAAAAACCAAAACACCAGCTACAACCACGGTACCAGCTACAACAAGGACTACATCACCATCCGTAACATCAGGCTCGGACTCAAAGTCTTCATCCTGATCCCTGCTCTGCTGGCCAACGGCGCCCTCCTGTGGCTGGTGTTCAAATCCAGACACAACCTCTCCCCGCCTCAGCTCTTGGCCCTGAACATCTCCATTCTCTGCATCGTGTACTGTCTGTTTCTACCTTTTGAACTTTACTTCTGGCTTCATAAAGCCTAGCGTAAATCAACAGAGAAACTGGAGAAAACTAGTTGCAAGGTGGCTTTTGGCAACTGAGAGGAGATGATCAGTTGCCGAAATCGGTCGATGTGCGTGCTCTTACAACTGGAGATGAACAGCTGGTCTCCAGTTTCAGTCAGTTGCCCGTGCTCTACTTTTCGGCAACTAATTGTCCTCAGATTCGGAGATATGACCCGATGTGTGCGCTCCATGCATCGCTCCGACAACATGTGTGTATTGCGTGTATTGCGAGCCCACAACAGTTTATGCCAGAAAACACACTGTAGTTGACGGCCAGTTGCTGTCGATGTACGCGCTGTTATTCCCTAGACTGCTACTGGGAGTTGCCCGTTTTCGTCAGATTGTCGATGTGTGCGGGGCAGCAACTCATATGCGATGGACAGAATCAGTTGCCAGTCCGATGTGCGCTAGGCTTAAGACTTACGAAGCTTTTGAATTTGTCTGGTACTACATCTTGACTTTAAACATGTTTGGATGTTCTATGTTTCTGACGCTGATGTGCTTGGAGCATTTCGTAGCCATTGCGTTCCCGATGACGTACTTACAGTAGGTCCCATTTCGTTTTGTCGCCTTTCACGCGTGAATCACACGAGACTCACGTGTGATTCACGCGTCTTTTATTTATTTTTTCCCCAGTGATGCTGCAATGACCCAAACAACCACCAGGAGGCACTTGTGAGCAGGGTTAGGAAAATTGGCTTCTCATTGGTCTTTCTTCTCTGTTCACCGGACAACTTTCTGTGGCTTTATAGCTCAATGATAAGGAGGTGGACTCTGGTGTGAGAGGACTCGGGTTCAAGTACAGTCTATGACACTTTTGATTTTGTTGACGTTTACATTTTTTCTAAAACATACTTAGTAATTAGGCCAACACATTTAAAATAGTTGCTAGACTGTAGTAAACTGTTGTAAACTTCACAATCTGCACCAACCAAACTGCAGGAAAAAAAATCAACTTTATTCAGTAACGGAGTAATCTGATTCATATACTCCCCCCGCTAATAAAAACTGTGGAATGGCCGGGGCTTGAACCCCGAACGTCCACAGGAAAGTCTTGGACAATCCTGCTACACCACAAAGACCGCTGAGTGAATGAGCCGTGCGGATGTGCGGGACGCTTAAAATGCCTTATATGCAGGTTAATGCAAATGTTTGCCATATGATCTGCTACTCCTGTGCATTTTAGAATTCCTAATTAATGGTAGCTATATGTAACATGTGTAGTTTACATTTTTGTATTGCTAATCAAAGTAAAAGTATTCTGAATACAGTGTACACTCGTGTTTGTTTTGTTCCAATGTTTCATGTTCAATAACGCACTTGCTGCTGGCTATCCCATACTGTAGAAGAAGTCAGAAAGGAACTTTTGAGAAGAAGTGTTTTTATTAAAAAATAAGAAGTAAAAATAAGTAATAAAGTAAAATATAATTGTATTGTTACAGTACTTACAATACAGTGCAGTAAGTTAGTACAGTGTTTTACAGAGTCAATCCTTTAAACTTTAGCATTCAGTAGCGACACTTTTAAACATAAAACACATTCTCACGATATTGCTAATACAAATTTATGATGGGGGGAAAACTTTCTTTCTCCAGTTCATCTTCACATATGCAAAACATCTTCACATAGCCTATCACTCAGGCGAGCAAAAACCGAGCACGTTTTCTCCAGTGTTAACCCTCTAGGCGCCACGGTCGACTTAAGTCGACAAGCTGCGGTACTGTTTAAAACGGCCGAGTGTGTCCAACTGAGTGTCAAAATTCATTCATACTCCCTGCCACTAGTTGGCAGACATGTCAGACTACCTCCCTGGCCCCAAAAAACGTCATGCTCCTATAGACGAGTTTTTTGGGCGTAACCATGGGCGCAGCCATTGAAGCGCTATGCTGTTTTTCACTTCCGGTTTGTGCTTGGCGCAGCTTACACAACTGCAGTTTAGACCGAAGATGGAGGATCATTCCAAGTTCTGCGGATTTTAAAATGGATATAGGAAAACGCAAACTGGGTTGTGGATCATACTGTGCGGTCCTTGGTTGGAAGGAGAATGTTATGATCATCGACCAGCTACAAGACGCCGATGTGGATGTGCTCCACCGTTTGCTTTGTTTTTGAAGCCAACAGCTGACAACGAGTCCAGGATGTGGCTAGCTGCTTTAAAGTTGAAGAAACCCCCTAAAAGAGTGTATGTTTGCTCCTATCACTTTGTGGACAAGAAGCCCACTGAGGAAAATCCTTTCCCGGAACTTTTCCTGGGATACGAGCGTCCTCCCCAGCGCAAGAGACGTAAACTTGAGAGGAACCCCGGCTTTCATAGAGCCTCAAGTTCTCACGGTAAGTCTTTTACTTTTAACCTTTAAGTCGTGTTCGTTTCTCGCCCCTTAATTTGGTGTGTGTTGTGTCTGTGTGTGTGTTGTGTGTGTGTATTGTGTCTGTGTGTGTGTGTTGTGTCTGTGTGTGCTGTCTGTGTGTGTGTTGTCTGGATAAATATGATCTGTTTACACATACATTTCTATGGTGGTCACTTTTGACCGGAACACAACAGATGTAACAAGGTTAACTAAAAGACTTAAAATTCCAGTAAAGTGATGCTCATCAATTTTGTATATTCAGGTGCAAAGTGTGGCGGATATCATAAAGTCTTGGCAATGAGATGTAACAAGAATGTTTTATGAGTGTTTAAATGTGCATATCGGTCTAATTTGACCCGAACACAACTTAAATGTTAAATGGTTATCTAGTGTAAACGCTTCCCGTGATTATATTTTTGTTGTGTGTGTGTTGTATGTGTAGTACATAATAACATGATGCTTCTGTCTTTCAGAAACGGCTGAAATGAGCACTGAATCTGTGCTGCTAGTGGACCAGATTGTCAACGAGCCTAAGTGTAAAGACGCTGCGACACAGTGGGAAGAAATGTCAATGGTCAACCACAGCTACGCATCAGCAAAGGCAGACATTGGAAACAAAGAAACGCAGACCGAGACTGTAAAGGCTCAGACCGTGGCCGAATCTGTGCTAGTAGATGACCACTCGTCGCTGCTGTACACAGGAATGATTCGGACTCATTTCTTTACATTGGTGGAAACAATGTTGCCATTTAGAAAACCAACGTGTAATATTCCTGTTGTTGATCAAATACTGATGACCCTCATGAAATTGAAACTTAACCTTGTGTTAGGAGATGTGGCTTACCGTTTCAATGTGTCCAAAAGCAAGGCAAGTACAGTGATTTCTGACTGGATTGACACGATGGGGGACCAGCTTGTGCCTATGGTTGCCTGGCTCCCGAGAAGTGTAATTCGTGCCAATATGCCTCCATCTTTTAGAGAAAACTACCCCAATACAACTTGCATCATTGATTGTGCTGAAAGCTATTCAGAGAGCTACAAACCTCAACTCCAGGAGTTCCACATTTAGTCACTACAAAGGAACCAATACTGTGAAATATCTAGTTGCTGTTTCCCCTCATGGGCTGATCATGTTTATATCTGAAGGTTATGCAGGTAGAAGCAGTGACAAGTACATCACCATGAATAGTGGGTTTTTGGAGGCCCTGAGGCCAGGTGATGAGGTGATGGCTGACCGGGGTTTCACTATTCGAGACCTGCTGCATGAGAGGAGGGTAAAGTTGAATATTCCAGCCTTTACCCACAAGCGTGGCCAATTGACTAATGAGGAGGTGACACGTACGAGACGAGTGGCCAATGTCCGTATACATGTGGAGCGAGCAATCCGAAGGCTGAAAGTTTTTAAAATCTTATCTCAAACTGTCCCCATCACCATGGTTCCGAAGTTGGACAAAATTCTAATAATCTGTGCAGCCTTGGTTAATATGAAGTCTAGACTGATTAGACTGCCACATGAAGTGTAACTGCGCTCTCGTCTTTTGAAAGCTTACTTGATTTTCTTTATGGCAGTAGCTATTGTACTGAAAAAATTATAAACTGTTTTTATTCCATGTCCCATCCCATTTTGTAAATGGCATCAGATGGCATCCAAGCAAATGTTTGAGAGCCCATCCACAGCTTTGTATTGTATGTATACATTTCCTCAAACAATTAAAATGTTGAAAACGTCAAAATGTCTTATGTCCAGTAATGAACAAGAGAACTTGGGTAAGATAAGAGAACCTTTATCTTTAAAAATAGCACTTTGCAGCTGACATGTCCTAACAGTAAGACAGTAGTAAGAGCACACACAGGGCACACAAAATACAAAAGAAATAGCTATTACATTTCTTAGCTAGCTGTAAATGTTTAATTATTATATACATATTTATATATATAAAGTTATATACACGCAGGATAATAAAGTGACATTAAGTGGGCATACTGAAATGCAGTATTGCACATGTTTTAGTATTCAATATTTACAGATGAATGACATGTGCAGCTCATTGTGCTGTTTGACAGGAGCAGGAAGGAAAGACCTGCAGAACCTCTCCTTCACACAGTGGGGGTGAATGAGTCCGTGTTTGTGAAAGTAATGACAAAGGACATCGAGTAGGAGCAGGTCATGGTGAATTTACAACAGCTAGATATCTGGAGCACAACTCTAGCCTTCCCTCATCAAATTCATCCACAATTTTTGGCAGCATGTGTGTATGAAGGTACTGATATGCCTCCGAGCTCTTCAGGTTGTTGATCGCATTTCCATCCACAGCCATGGAGTCAACGAAGTACGAAAATATTTTTGTTGTGGTGATTTTCGGCCATTTAGACATGTTGTCATCCCAAGTCGTTATCATGGATGGATGGGGAATTGTACAAACTCCATCTTTCGTGAGAAATGTCGCCGAATGTCTCCATTTAAGAGACATAATTCACGAAGGAAAAACACGTTTTTAAACAGTAAAAGAGCGTAACCGGAAATGAGAACACAAAAGCCGGAAGTAAACCGGAAATGCCCAAAAAACTCGTCTATACTTCCGGTAAGAGCGTGTAGACCAATCAGAAAGGAAGGGGGAGGGAGCTTGGGTT